GGAGGCCCGGCCACCAGGCGCTCGCATTCGAGCCCCAACCCTGGGCCTGGCTCCAGGGTGGGGCCCCGGCTGCGCCATACCGGGCGACATCACGGTCCTTGATGGAATTCTATTCATAAAGGGCTTTTTGACCCGCTCTTTGTCTGACCCATTACCTAGGACCTGTTTGCCTTGGGAGACCCTACCAGGGGCATTTAGCCCCTGACAACATAGCTCCTAGGATCACTCGGGTACTCAAACCCCTCCACCACAATAAGGTGGCGGTTCAAGGAGGGGCTGGTTTCACATATTTGGGAGTAAATGTATTATTTGACTTGAAGGGTAGGTCATGCTATTGTGCTATTTTCTTTGACTGGCATGTGTACTACAATGAAATCAAGTGTCCACATTTCCTTCAAGTCAAAATACTTTTACTCCCTGGTTTCACATATTTGCGAGTAAAATTATTATTTGACTTGAAGGAAATGTGGACACTAGATTTCATTGTAGTACACATGCCAGTCAAAGAAGATAGCACAATAGCATGACCTACCACTGTCCCTCGTTACTACACAAGTCAGTCTCAAAAATAACATCCTTCCTCAAAGTTTGTATCCAGTAGAGATACTCTGTATTTACGTAGGAAGGTCAACCAGGGTTTAGAAAAGACACTTTAATGTCAAACAAAAGCAAGGATCAAATCATTAGTTACCCACTTATATGAGTGGCCTAATAGGTGGTTTACAGCTGGGCCTGCATGCCATTTTTGGACATGGTTATAATATATACATACAATATCGTAAGGACAGGCCTGCACTGAAGCCTGGGCTTGTTCCCCATAACCCCTATGGAGCTTTTATGACATGTCATGCAAATACGATCAAATTAGATGTAAAGCACATCCATATTCACAGTCTGACATGATACTAAACATCTAGGATGGCACAATGTAAAATCATGGTCCCCTGTCATCCAGACTCCTGACTTCCCTGCAGGCAACAGTTCCTTTGTGTTTTCTTCCTGGTGAGAGAAGGGGATATATACTTATTGATGTATTTAAAGATAATGCTTTTCAGCAGCTAAGAGAGATACTTGATAATTTGAAGAACATTTTTTGGATATCTGCAAATGAGGCACTTCATATTCTTTCATGTTACTTCTTTACCTATTAGACTTCCTTATAGTGATGTGGAGTTTTTTTTTTCTGAATGCAGAAAAAAAGCATTTTATATTATTTTATTCACTTACCTGTTCCTCAGCATATGAGTTGCCAAATATTCTTCATAAGAGATCTGAGCAATGAATACTCCTTTCTCCTTAATGCACTAAGTGCCATTCATTGAAGATGATTGGCAGATGGCTATAGATCTGATTAGACCTACCTTTACATTAACAGACTAAGGGAAACCCAGTATAAGCTTCTACTCAAGCCGCATATCACCTCTGTTTCTTAGCACAAAATACATCATGCCTTTTCTCCTTAATGCACTAAGTGCCATTCAGATATGGGGATGCATTTCCACTGCGTTTGGCAGTGTAATTAATTCCCAGTTGCATATTTAAAATCTAAATCAAGAAAGACCCTGGGCTCTTTCTCTTATAACTGGGAATTTACAAGTATTGCTGAAGCATGATTCCATCCAGTCCACACTGCTGTCTGTGTCAGCAGTTCCTGATGACTGAACTGACAGCCGAAATTTACAGAACAAAAATAGCTTTTTTTAGGTTCATTAGGAAAAAATATGTTATGTATGAATTAGATTTTTAAAAGGTACATTATTATTATTATTTATATTTATTGATTAATTTCCTCTCCTTGCAATGCAGGGGGAAAGTGAAAAGGAAAACACCAGGAGCCTGATCTCTCATAACAGATACCTGCAAACAGTTTGCAACACACAAAACACAGGAGATTTGTGTGATTATAACACTTGTCTGTGGAGGTGACACTCCATTAAATGCACCAGAGGAAAAATAAAATAGACTTTGGTGTGGACTGACACATTTGAGAGAATGGAAGTCTATCTGTTGCATGAGATGGGCGAGTGACAGATGTCAAAAATGCTTCTAAAAATTATTTTCCATGTGATTGCCTTTTCCCTCAACATATTGCAAACATATTTATAAGCTTCTCTTAATTGCTTGCAAATGCATTCCACACAATGGATCTAAGTTACCCTGCCTAATGTTACCCTGTGGTATAGAGACCCTTCCTCATGAAAGAATGCAGGCTGTTATAAAAGGGGCCAAAGGGTATATCCTGAAGGTGTGTCACCTTTTCAAGATTATTTACCAGCAGACCTGAAAACATTACTGTTAAGGGTTAGGTGCTCCTTTGTGTAGAAGACCCCGCTCAATACCTCATCTTGAGACACTACATGATACACAACCTGGTATGGTTATTGATGAATGGTCACTCTAAACATGCTTATGTACCATGAACTGGAGATCTTCTGTTCAGTTTCAGTTTTTTCTTTTTTGATCTTGATGTGTACATGACGCTTGTTATTTGTGCACTATTTTCTGTTAGTTACTGTTCAGTAGTTGCTTTCTCTGAGAGACAATTTTGAAATGAAATGTTTAGTTACAATGTTACAGTATGTAGGTACATGTGCTGTCATGTGTCTGTACAGGTGAAACAATCCTCTGTCTCTGCAGTATTTTTTGCAGATTTTTATATAAATGCTGGTATTTAAATAATGGCAGAGATAAAAAGATCATACAAAGTGGAATTAAATTGCCAACAGTCAACAACAGTAGCTCCCATGTTGTAAATTCAGTATGATGCCTGTATCCACAGCACAAATTTCATCAGTTCAACAACAGAGTTATGCTACCTCTACAAAAGTCAACAGTTCCTGATGTTTTTTCACATAAAAAGGCAGCATACAGTATAATCAGAAGGCATGTTGAAACATGTTGAGTTTTATTCATGGTAGTTTAAAATGGTTATGACAAAAAGGCAGAGCAAGTGCCTATAGTGCTGCAATTGCTTAATTTATTCATTGTGTTCTACGTAGTTAAATCTTTGACTTTTTGTTCAACGAACAAGAATTATTTCAGAATACAGCCTGTGCGCTGGTGATTTAGTCCACGTGATAGGATTCTCACACAGGTAAACAACATTGCATTGTCTCTCTATGGAAACAATAATGGCATTTCCTTCTGTGCCACAGAAGTGTCCTTTGTAGCATATTAAATGCAGCACCTGTACCCTTTTTGTTCTTGTACAGTAGGAGGTCATGCTGTGATTGTATAATATAATAATAATTTTTCTGGTTTGAGTTTGTGGGTTGAGTTACTGTGTAGATAGAGGAGACTTGTATTGTTGCGCAGACATGTTGTCGGTTTCAGAGGATGGGTTCTGTACATGTCTCCTGGGGCAGACAGCAGCTAAATCCTCTGTTAAATTCAGACATTAAGGAAGAGAAACAAACACAGACAGTAACAGCCTTTACTGTCAGCACATTATTTTCACCTTACCCTGTTGCTGGAAATAAGGCTTTAAAGCAAAGAGCACAGTTGTTGTTGCCATAGTGACGCTTTGTGCCATTGATGACAAGGTTTGCACCAAAATGAAAACAAGGGGGAGAAAAATATGTACAAGAAAATGAAAAAGAGCAATAAAGTAGAATGGTATGATGTATGTGTGAATATAGTTTGTGACAGTGAAGGGGATGGACAGCAAAGTTCTCATAATATATTCTCTGTTCAATGTAGGTTTACCTTCAGTAGCACACATTTAGTTCTGCACTGATGGAACTGTATGTATTTATTCTGTTTTTACTTCATTTCATTTGGCTAACTTTAAAAGTGACTTATTTTTGGCCATTCTCATTGGTTATGCAATTGAAATACCAGCTGACCAATTGAACAGTCTAGCTTTGGATTTCTGCACATGCAGCTGTTGTAAGAGTGATACACTGCATTCAAAGAGTTTCAAGGGTGGTGTCTTTTTCTAGCCTTTCAAAAAAACTAAACACAAGAGCAAGAGTCTAAGTCATGGACTGAACAGCGTATTCAGTGCTTTAATGTAACCTGCAGTCGGTAGCGTGTCTGGCCTACAGGCTTTGTGTCTACAGTCACTAAGTGCTACAAGGTCAAGTAACGCATTGACTATCGACATTCATTTATGAGGTTGCAAGTTATATTGAGAAAAAAATTGTTCAAAACTATCACATTTGTTGTGTAATATTTCCCCATTACTCTACAGTGCCTTGCGAAAGTATTCGGCCCCCTTGAACTTTGCGACCTTTTGCCACATTTCAGGCTTCAAACATAACCAATGTAATGTGTTACATGTTATAAATGTGTTTTTTTAATTTCATGCCTTACAAAGATCATCAGCTGCTGATTTTTAGCCTGGGATATGTGACTTTGTCCTCTGTCTAACATTACATCATGTATTCAGAGATCTCTATCACTATCTGGAATCAGGTGCCCATTGATTCAGAAATCAATTGCAATGATTTTTTTAAATGTAAGAACTGCAAAATGGTCTACTTACAGCCAACTGAATATACGACTACATGGGGCACAAAATCAAAAAGCTTTACCCTCTTTAATGCAGAGCTCACCAAACTGTTGAATATCCATGTAGTTATTGAATAATAAAACTGTTGTAGTAGCATGGAATTTCTCTTCCATTTGCTCTGGTCAAATCTCGATGACCAGTTAAAATCGGAATGGGACGTTTTGGCAGTGGTGATGAGCTATGAAGTATTTGGCCATTAGGCCTTTCTGCATCCAGCTTGCTCTCTTTTGGATGACTAACACTCTCCCCTCTGTCATCATTTAGCAGTCGAGTGCCTCCTCAAAGGCGTAGCGGCCAGCTCTCACAGTGCGTTTGAGTGTAAATTAGGACACTGCTAAAGATGAAAAACATCCAACAAAATAAAATAAAAAATATCACATTTTGTAGAATTTGCAAATGGCTGCTGGTTCCTGGCCTGTTCTGTTTGTTATTGTATACCGTCCACCTGCTCCTTATTCAGAGTTTTTAAGTGAATTCTCAGACTTTCTGTCTGAGCTAGTGCTTAGTACAGATACAGTAAAATAATCATTGTAGGCGACTTTAATATTCATGTAGATGCCGACAATGACAGCCTCAACAATTCATTCTGTTCATTATTAGACTCAGTTGGCTTCTCTCAAACTGTAAATAAACCCACTCACTGTTTTAATCACACTCTTGATCTTGTTCTGACATATGGCATCGAAACTGAACACTTAATAGTTTTCCCCCATAACCCTCTTCTATCTGACCATTTTCTAATAACTTTTGAATTTCCATTAATGGATTATACTCTATGTGGGAAACAATTCCACTACAGCAGATGTCTATCTGGCAATGCTGTTACCAAGTTTAAGGAAATAATTCCATCTTTATCTACTTCAGTGCCGTTTGCCAACACAGTGGAAGGAGGCCACCTTAACTTTACTCCCACACAAATCGATAATCTTGTTGATAGTACTGCAGCCTTCCTGCGTAATACACTTGATACCATTGCCCCTCTGAAAAAGAAGGCAGTGAAACAGAGGAGGCTAGCCCCGTGGTACAGCTCGCAGCTCCGCTCCCTAAAGCAGGCATCACGAAAAATGGAAAGGAGGTGGCGCTCCACTAAGTCAGAAGAGTTTTTCACAGCCTGGAAAGATAGTTTAATAACATATAAGAAAGCCCTTCATAGTGCCAGAACCGCATTTTATTCATCACTGATTGAGGAAAATAAGAACAACCCCAGGTTTCTTTTCAGCACTGTAGCCAGGCTGACAAAGAGCCACAGTGCTGTTGAGCTTAACATTCCCTTAGATCTCAGCAGCAATGACTTCATGAGCTTCTTTACAAATAAAATCACAACTATTAGAGAAAAAAATTGCTCGGACCACTCCCACAGCTCTCGCAGATGTGCCATCTACTACAATGGCTTTAGAAACATCTGGAAGACCTCATTTATACTTGGACTACTTCTCCCCTATAGATCTCTCTGAGTTGACCTCAACAATTGCTTCATCTAAATCATCAACAGGTCTCCTGGACCCCATCCCG